TTCACAGTTACACTTCCTCTCTTCTGGAATATATCAACACCCGCATAGACAGTGTTACAACCCTTAAACAGATCAGTACATACCCGAATCAGAAGCTATGGATGAACAAGGAGGTGTGCCTCCTGCTGAAGGCACGCAACACTGCCTTCAGATCAGGGGATGCATAGGCCTACAGCACCTCCAGGGCTAATCTGAAGAGAGGCATCTAAAAGGCCAAGCACTGTTACAAGCTAAAGCTAGAGGAGCACTTTTCAACTCTGATCTCCGGTGCATGTGGCAGGGCATCTAGGCCATCAGCAACTACAAACCCAGCCAGACTACACCCACAGCCACAGACGTCTCCTTCCTGAACGAGCTAAATGACTTTTTTGCCCGCTTTGAAAGAGACGATAAAGAGCCCTACACCAGGATTACATCCTCAATCAACCACTCACCTATCACACTCACTTCCTCAGATGTCTACACCGCACTGAGTCGGATCAATGTGTGTAAGGCTGCTGGACCAGACGGTATTCCTGGGCACGTCCTCAAAGCATGTGCAGAACAGCTCGCTTGGGTATTCACAGACATTTTCAACCTGTCGCTCAACCTAGCAGCTGTGCCAACATGCTTTAAAACCACCTCTATTGTGCCAGAGCCCAAACACTCCAGCCCAACATACCTGACTGACTACCGCTCTGTAGCAATCACCCATCATCATGAAGTGCTTAGAGCGGTTGGTCCTGGCACATCTGAAACACTCTCTACCATCCACACTGGACTCACACCAGTTTGCCTACCGTGGCAACAGGAGCACAGAGGATGCATTTTCTATAGCACTGCACTCTGTACTTACACACCTGGACAATAAAAACACTTATGCACGAATGCTGTTTGTTGACTTCCGCTCATCATTCAACACTGTCATACCCTCCATGTTAATGATCAGACTTAGAGAAATGGATATTGACACGTCTCTCTGAAACTGGGTTATGGACTTTCTGACTAACAGACCTCCGAATGTTAGATCAGGCCACATCTGCTCCACCACTCAACACTGGTGTACCACAGGGCTATGTGCTGAACCCCTTCCTCTACTACCTTTTGACAATTGACTGTAAGCCTGTGAGCAGATCCAACACCATCATCAAATTTGCAGAGGACACCACAGTGATTATTCTAATAAGCAACAATGATGAGACGGCCTACAGGGAGGAGATCCAGCATCTGTCCACTTTCTGCACTGACAATAATCTGCTCCTTAACACCAACAAGACCAAGGAGCTCATTGTCGACTTCAGGAAGGGACGAACAGGCTCACATGATCCAATACACATTAATGGGATGGCCGTTGAGCCTGTCTCATCCTTCAAGTTCCTGGGGACCCACATCTCAAAGGACCTTCTCTGGACCATCAACACCTCCAGCCTGGTCAAGAAGGCTCACCAGCACCTTTTTTTTTTTTTTTTTTTTGAGGCAACTTAAGAAAAAGAAGCAGCTTTTATCAACTGTCTTGGTGAACTTCTACCGCTGCACAATAGAAAGCATCCTGACCAACTGCCTCACAGTCTGCTATGGAAGCTGCTCTGTTGCTGAGCGTAAGGTACTGCAACGGGTGGTGAAAACTGCCCAATGCATCACAGGGGCCACACTGCCAGCCATAGAGGACATCCGGAAGAAACACTGTTTGCGCTGACCCCGCAGTAATCTTAAGGACACCTCTCACCCTGCTCACAGACTGTTTTCTCTCCGGCAGGTGCTTCAGACTCCGGATAAAAACGAGCAGCCTGAGGAGCAGCTGTTTCCCCAGAGCAGTCTCATTTTTGAACTCCCTTTTGAACTCTGTCCCTCACTATGCCAACCTAACCCCCAGACACCCCCCCTTCTGTACACTCTTTAACATTTGCACATTTAAAATTTGCACATATTCATTGCACTACATTGCACTGACTCACTTACTTGAACTGTACCTACCAACTGCACATGGACATTTCTAATTATAAGCACTGTCAAAATTAATGCGTTAACACATGCAATTAATTTTAAATGATTAACGCGTTAAAAAAATTAACGCAATTAATGCAGTTCAGGTTTTTTTTTTACTTCCTGTTGTGGTGGACGTGTGTTCAACATGCAATAAATGTGGATAAGACCAAGGAAGCACTTTTTGAAGGCAAGTTCCAGTATAAAACAATTAGTTGCATCACAAGTTATCCAGAGTTTCATGCAATTTCGGGTGTTTCATTTTTAACTTTCGACATCTGTTGTAAGTTGATACCGCATGGCGAACAGAAAGAAAATACTCCGCATTTCGTGACTCGGTGTTCCTTTAAGGTAAGGTTCCTTTTAAGGCTACATGGTAGAATTTTAATAAGAGTATTATCTTAATCATATTAAAATCGGAGTATTGGTGTCTTATGTAAATGTACTCAGAACGTCTGGTGAAGTCGCGAGCTGTCAAAGACAGGGCATTTCTCTGCCTTTCAGCACGAGCCCCACAAGTTTAGCATGTTTCCTCATTAAACGCAACGAAAGCGTATGCTTCGCGTTGTTGTGGCAGAATCCTTGTGAAATACAGTAATACTTTAGGACGCTTAGTTTAGGACGCTTAGCAAATTTGATGAACGTGATCATGCGTGTTGAATCTGAGGGGAGTCGCTCCAGTATGGAAGGCCGTTGGGGCCAAAACGTCTGCAGCGCGTTGTGTGTGTCTGTCTGTGTGTGTGTCTGTGTCAGGCCCGTTGAGGGGTGTCAGGGATGGAGTGAGCGACATATCTGAGTAGGGGCAAGAGGGGTGTGCAATGTATTTAACGACCGGTTTGCAAGAAATTATCATTAATTTATAGGCATTTGGGAGTCTCTGTGCACTTGCGGGATACTCCTAGTCTTAGCAACTGGATGAATGTAAAGGAGGATTAAGCAAAATGACTCTATAATTAATGTTCTCAACTCACAGCAATAAAACTTTACAATGAATGCAACAGTTTGTATTCTATAGTTTATTATTATAATTTTTCATTTTCCATATCTGCAATTCCTGTATTTTGGCATTTTTTTGCAGTCCACTTAGAATCCAACATGGAAATCATGTTTTCTTTATTGGCATTGATTGTTTTGAAATTTAAATGTCTTTACTCTTACTTTATTTTTTTTTTTTTAATTTATACGTTAGTTAGACAACAGACATCAAAATATTTTTATCGAAATAGGTTTTGCTGAGTTATTTATTTGTTTATTTTCACTATAACTTTTGTTTTACACAACCAAGGTTCATCCAGGTTCATACCCTTATATACATTTCTGGAGAGCACCAAATACGTCCTAGGAGATATGTTATTTTCATATGTTAGTTTTCGCGAATCCACCAGAGGCTGCTGTGTGCACTTTTTTTGAAATCTCAAATTTTTCTCACGAGTGTCATTTGTGCCTGCTTTTCTTTTGTAAATCCAACAGAGGCCACTGTCAACTGGCTGACTGACAGATGGACTTACCCTCCTTCCCTAAACCTAACCAATAGTGTTTTTAAAAGCACCGACTGACCCGCCCACAAACTTCCCTAAACCCAACCGATAGTGTTTTCAAAAGCAATCCAGAAAAAGAAGCCCTTGCGGCAGCCTGATTTTTACCACAGCCAAGATTTAAACCTTATTATCTTAATTATCTTGTTTTTTTTGGCTTTTGGTTTTGTCTTACCTGCTTTCTGGAACCATTCTAAACCAGAGTCAAACTTCGTTGTCACAGTCAACTCTGCGTCACAATTCTGCCAACGTATGCAGTGAGCCACTGTACAAACTGGTAACAGCAGAAAAGTTGTTCACACAAAGGTAAGCAGTCAGCTGGTTAAGCGCGGAAAGAAACAGCGCATCCGTTTTAAAGACTAAATTAAACTAATTCGCAATCTCCAGAAATGTATTGGGCTTCATTTTCAGAATGAGTCTATGTTGTTTTTATACGTTTTTGTTGTGTTTTTATTTTCTTGAAATATTTAGTTTGCTTTTCAGTTTAGTCATTGTGTGTTGTTAAACACATGAAGAGTTTAGATGCAAAAACTTCTAAAAGCCATTTGATATTATTTCTATAATTAGCATTTTGCTCTGACTCTTGTGTGTAGGCTCAGTAATTTTACTTTTATAGTGATGAATAAGTTCTTTTCATTGCCTTTCAAGTGAAATAACTGAACATAAACATAGGAGGCTGATAAAAAAATGCTCATTTAAGGTAAACATTTCCAACGTTTTTACATCTGAACTCCTCACATACAATTTTATTTATATAATTTGTATTTAGTTTATTAGCAATATTATTTAAATTCCAGACAAACTAAATCACATTAAGACACAATTTTATGGCAGCCAGCTAAAGTAAACTTGGAAAGAATATGTGTATGATGTAAATATTTTATGTTAATATTTTATTTAATATTCATGTCTTATATTATATATGAATATGCATAAACAAAACAAAATACAAACTACTGTTTTAGATAATAATTTAACAACGCAAAAGTTTTTGACCATATGTAAAAAAAGTTGAATATATATATATATATATATATATATATATATATATATATATATATATATATATATATATATATATATATATATATATATATATATATTTCCAATTTGCTTTCATTTGATTAAAACAAATACAAATTGCTGAGAATTTTACAAATCATTTGAATTTTTTTTATTAAATTCAATAAATTTATTAAAATAATGAAATAAACTATTACATTATATTTTTAAATCATAAAACAATTTTTTTCATAAAATAAATCACAATAAAAATGCAATAATAAACAAATAGTAATAATAATAATAATAATAGTAATAATAGTACTTGTAGTAGTAAAAATAATGAACCCACATATTCAATGCGTCCACACTATGAAATGTGCAAATCAGCAAATCCTAAGTCATAATTTCTAAACAATAAACAAGCAGCCCGAGTTCACCATGTGGTTATTGCTTGCACAACACAAGTTAGCTGTTCATGTTTCAAAAGCTGTGACTCACCTCTCTGGAGCCCTTCAGTCAGGCTGAAAAATGCCAGAAAAACTACCAGAGGAGTGTTTTTCGGGACCTTCATGTTCACCTTAAAGCCTTCTGCTTCAAATCAGCTTTAAAATCCATTGGTCAGCCTCGTATCAGAACTCTGAAATGAAGTCCAGCAGATGGTACAGTGTGTATGTCTGTGTGTGTGGATGTGTGTGTGCATGTGTAGAAAGGCCTTCGCAGTGTTCGTGCGGTCAGCTGAGATAGACAGGACCAGCTGCTGGATACACTTACAGGAATATGAGGGGGATGAGATACAGAAAGTGCCTTGAAAATACCAATAATACCATTTTTTATACAAGGGAACATGTTGTACTTTTGAAGTTTGTAGATTTTATGTGCAGCTGCTGAATTCAGAGCTTATGATTTGGCTTGAAAAAACATAGAAATAAAACCACAGTCTGTGTTAACCCTGTAAGGCTGAAAATTAGAATTTTCTGGAATTGAGATGTTTATTTCACCCTTTAGTTAAAAAATAAATAAATAAATAAAAGCCATATACATTTTTCTTCATATTTTTGTAAGATTTGATAAATCAGGCATTTGTTTAAGTTTTTGCTCACAACAAAGTTAATTTGAATTACAAAAAATATTTTGCTCTTAACATTTTGACAACAGAGAATATTTAAGACATTTTTTTCTCTTTCTTTTTACCTGTTATCTGCTTTACCTGTTGTATATCAAGTCATTTACAACAGGGTTTTAAACAAAGAAATTATCATGTTGATATCATAGTTCTTAGAAACGTGTGGATAAAATATGATAAGTGCGGTTAATATACTTAAATGTTCTTCTTGAGTCTGAATCTATCAGAAGTGTAACAGTTTGGTACGTAACTTGGTTTCAAACTCACAATATTACTGTATGTTCAGTATAGCAAAAGGGGGAAAAAAACATAAAAAGCTTCAGTTTTAGTTTATGAATGATAAACTATTGATGTTTATAATTTAAGTCACAGTCTAAGCCAGAAATCCTAAAGTACATTTCAGCTGTCTGAGTTTTGTCTCAGAACTGCAACTTGTTTGTTGTGCCCAATTCAATTTTCAAATTTATATACTTTCTAATAGGGGTGTGACGAGGCGCTTAATCCATGAGACAAGACTTGACATGAGATTGGGTTCACTAGAACGAGACAAGATTTTTACAAACTATTTTTATAACACATCTTCAATGATAAAAATATATGAATGGAAAGCAGTCTTTTATTCAACAACAACAACAACAACAACAATTACAAATTGCAAAACTATTTAACTATTTAATTTTTTTTAATTAAACTTGTAATTATTGTTATTTAACTTATATGTTAATGGATTCTGTGCAGTAAAGGACATACAAACACTGCAAAATATTTTGCTAAGAGCCTATGTGAATGGAAAATAGACATTTTATTTATAATTTAAAATATTAGGAAAATATTTGCTAATATATGAATGGAAAATAGATTTTTATTCAACTGAAAAAAATCATGAAATGCAAAACAATTTAGGTGTTTTTTTTTTTATTTTTTATGAAATTGTGATGGTTGGTATTTTATTTCTGTTTTAATGAATTCTGTACTGTTGGACATGCAAACACTGCAAAATGTTTAGCTAGAAACTCTACAGACTGGCTTCTCCCCTGTAGTTGCTACTCCCCTGTAATTTTTGTAGTATTTCATTTTTATTTTTTCAGCAACTTCAGTTTCATTCAGCAAGATTTTGTTCATGCCTCCGTGAGTCGTGACTCACTCTGTACGCAGGTTGCGTAAGGCCTCAACTCCGAACGGGGGCACCATCTATGGAGTTAGATTCATTAGGGACCGAGCACCGAACGGTGCAAGGCCCTATTGGAATTGCTCCGTTTATTAGGGACCGAGCACCGAACGGTGCAAGGCCCTATTGGAATTGCTCCGTTTATTATTATTATTATTCTTCTCTCCAATGAATCGCGATTTTGAGGGGCTAAACAAGCCCGAAAACTCACGCAACTTTGCACACGCCTCAGAAGTGGCGAAAATTTACGTTTTTTATGGTCTTCGGAAGTGGGCGTGGCAAAATGACTCGACAGCGCCACCTAGAAAATTTAAACGGACAAGCCCCCGATCCACGAATAACGCACATGCACGAAAATTGGCACACACCTCAAACATGCCAAACCATACAAAAAAGTCTCTTGGAGCCATATCTCAAACCCAACAGGAAGTTGGATATTTTTGACTTCCTGCGACGAAAAAGTGGCGTTTTTGCCATTTCCAGGCGTTGTATTTTAACGAACTCCTCCTAGGGATTTTATCCGATCGACACCAAAATTGGGTTTTGTCATCTAAAGGCCTTGGCGATGTTAAATTGCGAAGCTTTAGAGTTTTCGTCGATGGGCGTGTCTGTGGCGGCCTCGCAAACTTTGACGATTCGCCACAAAACAGGAAGTCGTTATAACTCAGGCATGCATTATCAGATCTGCCTCAAAATTCACACGTTTGATAAGAGTCCTGACCTGAACACATTTACATGCCGATATCCAGATACAGTTATAGCGCCACCTGCTGGCCACAGGAAATGACATGTTTTACATCGTAACAAACTCCTCCCACAATTTTTTTTGTATCAGCACCAAATTTGGGTTGTGTTATCTGAAAGCCCTAGCGATGATATATTGTGAAGATCTAGAGTTTTCGGAGAGGGGCGTGTCCGTGGCGGCAAGACAAACCTCAACGCTTCGCCATGGAACAGGAAGTCCTTATAACTCAAGCACACAATGTCCGATCTGCCTGAAACTTCACATGGTGGATAAAAGTCCTCTCCTGAACACATCCTCATAACAATAATGAAGTGGGCGTGGCAAAATGACTCGACAGCGCCACCTATAAAAATTAAACGGACGAGCCCCTGATCTACGAATCACGCACATGCACAAAAATTGGCACACACCTTAAACATGCCAAAACATACGAAAAAGTCTCTTGGAGCCATAACTCAAACCCAACAGGAAGTCGGATATTTTTAACTTCCTGCGGCAAATAAGTGGCATTTTTGCCATTTCCAGGCGTTGTATCTTAACGAACTCCTCCAAGGGATTTTATGCTATCGACACCAAAATTGGGTTTTGTCATCTAAAGGCCTTGGCGATGTTAAATTGCGAAGCTTTAGAGGTTTTGTCGATGGGCGTGTCCGTGGCGGCCTCACGAACTTTAACGATTCGCCACAAAACCGGAAGTCATTATAACTCAGGCATGCAATATCCGATCTGCCTCAAAATTCAAATGTTTAATAAGAGTCCAGACCAGAACAAGTTTACATGCCGATATCCAGATACAGTTATAGCGCCACCTGCTGACCACTGAAAATGTCATGATTTACAAAGTAATAAACTCATCCCACAAATGTTTTCATATCAGCACCAAATTTGGTTGGTTGTGTATCTGAAAGCTCAAGCGATGATATATTGTGAAGATCTAGAGTTTTTGCAGAGGGGCGTGTATGTGGTGGCATGACAAACCTCAACGCTTCGCCATGAAAAAGGAAGTCCTTATAACTCAACCACACAATGTCCGATCTGCCTGAAACTTCACATGGTTGATAAAAGTCTTCTCCTGAAGACATCTACATGACAATACTGTCACAGTCATAGCGCCACCTGCTGACAGGAGGAAGTTTGGCATAAATCTGAGGATTTCTCAGGTTTTTTATATATATCGGCTTAAATTGTTATTGTTCACTGTTCTCTGTCATCCTGAGGCCACCGGGCGGCGGTGAGCCCGGGTGCGAGGTCCCTATCATCGCTGCTTGCAGCTTTAATTATTATTATTATTCTTCTCTCCAATGAATCGCGATTTTGAGGGGCTAAACATGCCCGAAAACTCACGCAACTTTGCACACACCTCAGAAGTGGCGAAAATTTACGTTTTTTATGGTCTTCGGAAGTGGGCGTGGCAAAATGACTCGACAGCGCCACCTAGAAAAATTAAACGGACAAGCCCCCGATCCACGAATCACGCACATGCACGAAAATTGGCCCACACCTCAAACATGCCAAAACATACAAAAAAGTCTCTTGGAGCCATATCTCAAACCCAACAGGAAGTTGGATATTTTTGACTTCCTGCGACGAAAAAGTGGCATTTTTGCCATTTCCAGGCGTTGTATTTTAACGAACTTCTCCTAGGGATTTTATCCGATCGATACCAAAATTGGGTTTTGTCATCTAAAGGCTTTGGCGATGTTAAATTGCGAAGCTTTAGAGTTTTCGTCGATGGGCGTGTCCGTGGCGGCCTCGCAAACTTTGACGATTCGCCACAAAACAGGAAGTCGTTATAACTCAGGCATGCATTATCCGATCTGCCTCAAAATTCACACGTTTGATAAAAGCCCTGACCTGAAAACGTTTACATGCCGATATCCAGATACAGTTATAGCGCCACCTGCTGGCCACAGGAAATGACATGTTTTACATCATAACAAACTCCTCCCACAAATTTTTTCGTATCAGCACCAAATTTGGGTTGTTTTATCTGAAAGCCCTAGCGATGATATATTGTGAAGATCTAGAGTTTTCGCAGAGGGGCGTGTCCGTGGCGGCATGACAAACCTCAAAGCTTCGCCATGGAACGGGAAGTCCTTATAACTCAAGCACACAATGTCAGCTCTGCCTGAAACTTCACATGGTTGATAAACGTCATCTCTTGAACACATCCTCATAACAATAATGAAGTGGGCATGGCAAAATGACTCGACAGCGCCACCTATAAAAATTAAACGGACGAGCCCCTGATCTACGAATCATGCACATGCACGAAAATTGGCACACACCTTAAACATGCCAAAACATACGAAAAAGTCTCTTGGAGCCATAACTCAAACCCAACAGGAAGTCGGATATTTTTAACTTCCTGCGGCAAATAAGTGGCATTTTTGCCATTTCCAGGCTTTGTATCTTAACAAACTCCTCCTAGGGATTTTATGCTATCGACACCAAAATTGGGTTTTGTCATCTAAAGGCCTTGGCGCTGTTAAATTGCGAAGCTTTAGAGGTTTTGTCGATGGGCGTGTCCGTGGCGGCCTCGCAAACTTTAACGATTCGCCACAAAACCGGAAGTCATTATAACTCAGGCATGCATTATCCGATCTGCCTCAAAATTCACGTTTAATATAAGTCCAGACCAGAACAAGTTTACATGCCGATATCCAGA